CCTGCCACTGGCGTCCCAGCAATGAGGCAGGCAGGTGGCCTGGGAAGTGGCTGAAGGTGCCGCAGGCTGCATACGAAGGGAACACGGGCCGCATGCAGCCCGTGGGCCACGTATTGAGTAGCCCTGCCCTATGTGTTCAAATCTAAAAACAGTCATCAAAAAAGCACCCTAGCTGGCCTCAGCTTCTGGAATCAGAGGGTGGTCGTTCAGGTGGTTAGGAGGCAAACTGCAAAGGACATTCATTGTAGGTCATTTAATACGTGAGGCTGCATACGAAGGGAACACGGGCCGCATGCAGCCCGTGGGCCACGTATTGAGTAGCCCTGCCCTATGTGTTCAAATCTAAAAACAGTCATCAAAAAAGCACCCTAGCTGGCCTCAGCTTCTGGAATCAGAGGGTGGTCGTTCAGGTGGTTAGGAGGCAAACTGCAAAGGACATTCATTGTAGGTCATTTAATACGTGACAGTGAACAGGGACTAGAACTGCTACAGGAAACTGAGTGTAACATGTTCTGTACTTTGTCTTCTACTGGGCAGTCACATGTGGAACTAGCTACCCCTTCCTCAGAAGCATCTGGTGCTGGCTGCTATCAGAGAGAGGATACTGGACTAGATGGATCTCTGGGGTCTGATCCAGTAGGGGAATTTATATGTTCCTAACTCAGCATAAAATGACACTGAACTGACCCCCTGGTGCTAAGCTCACTTTAAACAGAACTACCCAGGATTTTAAACAGAAGTAGGGGTCAGCACGTTACTTTGCCACCTTGTGTCACATTCCTAAGGAGATTAGGGATGGAGGCACTACAGGCTCCAGTCTCTTTGGCTAGCCTAGATTTACTGTGCTGTTACATGGGCTATGCTGCAATAGCAGGCCCACTAGGCTCTGACAGAAACAACTTCCCCAGCCTCTCTCTGTTAAGTTCCTTGCAAGCCTGCCTGTCCCTGTTGATGGCCCCAGCTCCTGACAAAGTTTGTCTGCTCAGGATGATATCTTCTGATCCTTCCTACAGGTTTTCCACAAAAGCAGCAGAAATATTCAGCTTTTTTTTTTTTTTCCTTTACTGGTAGAGGAAAGATCCCCTGCCTGTGACTCTTCCCTGAAACTGATTGCTGTCATAGAAATACTGGGCAGTTCTTTGTTTCCTGCAATTGTTTCTTTCACATCTCAGCCTGGTCAGATGATCAGTCCCTCAATGACAAGTTTCTGAACTCCTGTCTGGTGGCTTGTCCCTCACCTCTTAATTTCCAGGTCCCTCTGCATTGCATCTGGTGTCTACCCTTGCTCTGTATTTAGAGCTCCACCCCTTTCCGAACTGCTATTAAAGCAGATCAGGAGCCAGTTCTACCCTCCCAGTCTCAGTTCTCCATGTTGTTTCCCAGCCCCATTCAGGAAGCAGTGGCCTCAAACAGCATCTGTTACAATACATGAAGGAAAACAAGTGAAAGATGACTAAGTTTGTTCTTGATGCTTGATATGGGGCAAGGGGGATTTCCCTGCCTGAAAGTTCTGCTGTAAATAGGTATTTGTGCTGAGGCTTCCTATAGGATAGTGGTTCTCAAACTGCAGTCTGTGGACTACTAGTGGTCCACTGCTGCCTTCCAGGTGGTCCGCGGCTCAAGCTCAGCCTCCACTTCCTCTCTCCCTCCCCCCTTGCAGCAGAGAGCCCGCACTGATGCTCTAGCCTCATGCCTTCTCCCTCCCCGCCACTGTAAGGTTGTAGCAGCAGAGCCGGCTTCCCACTGGGGGAGGGAGATGCCCAGACCCCACACCCCTAGCCCACTCCTGCACCCCCCACCCTGGTCAGACACCCTATGCCCTCTCTGGCTCCTGCACTCTCCCCCCCTGGACCGACATCATACCCCCAGCTTGCTCCTGCAGCCTCCTCCGGTCAGATAATCTTTCCCCAGCCGACTCTTTCACCCTCCCTCCTGGCCAGACACCCTACCCCCACCCTGTTCCTGCACCCACCCTGGCTCGTGCACCATCGCTCCTGGTCACACACTGTGCACTTTCCCTTTCCCTTGCCCCCTCCCCATGGCCAGACACTCTACTCCCAACCTACTGCTGCACCGTACCTGCCACCCAGACCTTGCACCCTCACCTCCTCCTGCTTACCACCTCCCACCCAGATCTTGCACCCCCATCCCATCGCACTCATTGGCAGCCCTGTCCTGCACACTGAGCCCTTCATTTTTGTCCCCACCCCAGAACCTAAGGGGGTCACAAAATTCACTAAACCCAGAAGAGTAAATCTGGCTTATGGGAAGTCTCATGGAGCTGGAGCGCCAGGAGTGAGGTGTCTCATTCGGGAGCCATATCAATGAGTATTGGGGTTTTTTGGAGGAGTTTTTTTGCTTCTGACTTGGGTGGTCTCCAACTGATTTTTCTGTGGGTCAGTGCCCCCCTCCAAACCAAAAAAGATTACCCAGCCTTGCCAAAAATAAATAAAACATTGAAACCTTTTGTGTTGGACATAATTAATATTTTACTTTATTTAAAATGAAGTTTGATAAACTTAACACAAGAAAATTAAAATGGTTAATCTGTTTAATAATTTAAATTAAACTGGTCTCCCTAGCTGCAGCACTAGCAAAATGGCTAGGGTGTAATTTTATGTAATTAATGGCGAGTTTCCATTACTAGGTGGTGGTCCATGGAAAGGTTTGGATTGAGCCTGGTGGGCTATGGGCCAATAAGTGTGAGGGCCAGTATAATAGAAAGATGAGTGATAAAGAGGAAATTGAAAAATCCTGTGCAGGAAGCGGAATTAATCAGAGACAGCAGCTTCAAAGGCCAAGAGCAAAGGGGGAGGTGAAGCAATGGGGACTGAATCTACTCCAAACTGATTGGACCGCACCCCAAGAGAAAAAAATGGAGAATCTCCAGGAATTACCTTAATGTGTTCTAGTGAGAGGGGGCTGGTTGCCTAGGAAACACAGAATTTATTCTTGAGAGGGATGGTAGGGAGAAGTAGGAATGCACTAGTCAGAAGTGTACACTAGGTTGAGAATCAGGATGTCGAGAAAGGAACATTCAGGAGATAGCCAGTAACCATACATCCTGTGTTGATTAGAGACATGCTCTACCAACCAGAGCTGCTGGCCTCTTATGCCATGACTGAACCAGAAGACAGAGAGTATACATGGGAGAGGGGCCACTGTGGATCCAGTAAACAGTGAAAAACCCCTCAGTAAGAAGCAACTCCCCATGGGGCACAGTATGGAATGGGTAGTGCCCAACAGATCTATCCTGAGACTGTGAAACAGTATTAAGGCAAGCCTAGCATTTTTGTATGGTCAAAGCATTTCTACAAACAGGAACTGTTCTTATCTCTGATCTGACACTAACCTGCTTGGCTGACAGAGGCTTCCTGTTTTTACACCTTCAGTTTGCCAGCTGCCTGATGGGTTGATGCTGGCCCCTCTTCTAGAGGCTGAGAGAGGTAGTTCTGCTCCATGCCTAACTCTTCTTGCCTTTTGCTGTAGGTGGGTCCTGCCTATGGATATCACAGAATTGCTAGAAACAGGAAGAGTGCATTAAAATGAGAGAGACATGAACTAAAGCCAAACCCAAGCCAGGCTTAGCTGTATGAAACATGTCAGTAGCTAGCTCGGTGGTTTTTCTGAATTATCCACTTGGAGTGCCAGGTGCTGTTTGTGGGGCTCTCTGCCCCGAGAAGCTACCCTACACTGACATACTGACTTGCTCCACAGCCATGGAGCAACTGCCCCTGAAAAAAGCCTATGCAGATTAGGGAAGAGAGAGAAAACTGAGAATGGCAACAAAGTTTCTAAGAACATTGGAAGAAGAAGCCACAAGAGAGGTTTATGTACAGTTGGAAGGTGACTAGATGAGGGCAGGAGCAGCCCAATAGCCTCTCCAGTGTTGTCTTATAACTTCTGGCTGTTGTTTCATCTAAGGAGAGAGTGCATGTGTGTAAGTTTAGGCTGTCTTAGAAAAAGGAACGATTTAGGAGGTCAGGGTGGTGGGGGCCTGCACTGCAAAGATCCTAAATCAGGCTAGGGCCGATGCTTGTGGTGAGAGAGGATGATTGTGGAGGGGGATGATTGGGTGATCATGCAGCCATTTCTGGTCTTCCTATTAATCATTCTTAGCCCTATTGGCAGGTAAAAGCCTCTTCAGCACTACTCTGGTTCTTCCAGGAGCTCACAGCCCTCTGGAGTTTCTACATTTCATTTAAGGTGCAGCTAGAACCTGGGCCAGGGCAGCTGACGGGATTTACAGTATAAAGAAGGAAGGGTGGTTCTGTGACTACCATAGAGGAATAAGCAAGTCAGGACCTGTAGGATCTGTTCCCAGCTCTGCAAATCACTCAGTGTGAGTTACCTTGAGCAAATCATGTTCCCCTCTGAGCCTCAGTTTCTCTGTTTGGTAATGGTGTAACAAATATCTCCAGGGGCTGGGAGGCTAAATTGATGTGTTCCAGTCAATGCAGAATTTTATTAATAGCACTGGAGTTATGCCTTCGTTGGCTGAGTCCCTCATCTGTACTGGTCTCCCCAATGGTCGAACCTTCCGGGGCTGATGGTCCTGCTTGTACCTAGTCTGGGTCAACCATGTACCCTGAGAGTCCCTGTTCCATGCACATGGGTCACATGTTTATTAGCCATGAATTTATTGCTGCTTGAATGATCTGAACTTCTCCACACAGAAATCACTCAGAGGGCAGTGTTCACTCAAATCCCTTAAAGCCATGGGAGCCAATATACCAGAAGTAGGCGCTAGTGAGACAGTTTCACCAGCAGATGTCTCTCCAGCTCAAGCTAAAGTGGTAAGTAGAAATGCCAGTAGCAGCCAGGGCCAGGTTTGATGCCAAAAGCCTAGAGCTCCCATCCCATGAGGCCTACAGTGAAGATAGCACTTATAGCCTGTGAGGAGGCAGGGTGGGAGTAGAAGCCAGTTACAGGAATATTTCCTGCCTCTCAGTTTCATAAATCTCAGCACTCAGTCTGGCTTGGCTTCTGACAGGAAGCTCGGGAGGGGAGAGGATAATGGTGGCCAACAACAGTTGGATTTAAAAATTAACTTATCACACTGTGTGAAAAGGTCCTTGGCTTTCACACTAGCTGGTTTGTGGGGGCTAAGGACTAGGCCAGCAGACATATAGGTCATTGGAAGATTGACTGAAGCACCTCTGTATCCCTGCAGGTGGAGCTCATCCAGGCTGAGCGCCAGTACAGCCTGATGGAGAGCAGAACAAAATCCCCTCCATCTCCCATCGCTGTGCTAGGGAGCAAGCAGGAGCATGATGCAGCCCAGCGGCGCCTCATCTACTGTCGCCTGGAGCTGCGGAGCGTGTTGGAGGGCCTGCGGGAGCAACACCTTCTCCGGGAGGACACGGACCACATGCTGAGAGCCCAGTTTACTGGTACATGATGGGGACAGGAATTGAGGGACTGAGAATACTAACCAGGAGCTCGCTGCCCTTTCAGAGACCATGTGGTAAATAACAGCATTTGTCCTCCAGGGCCTCAGCTCACATGGGAGTCAGTACAGTGAAGGGGCTGAGACCAGGCTCCAGCCTTGGGGAGAGCAGGCTGCTCCTGGCCTGTGAACAACACATTTCTTCTCTATACAGTTAGATGTTGTCCCTCCCCCATCAATGGCAGAAACACATGTGGGTTTTCCACCCACTTTGCCACCCCCTATCCCTTGTGAGCACTAAGAAGAGGGCCTTGTATTGACTATGGCTCTGAATAAACCCCAAGGAATATTCCCTCATCTCTGCTCTCTGCCATAATGTGCAGTAGAAAAAAGTAGCTACTCTCTGCAGATCCTTCAAACAAAATAAGCCTCAGCCCAGATTCTTTCACCCTACTCTCTGCCCCATTCCCGATACCCATCTCTTTGCTTTAGCAGACTTGCAGCTTGATTTGTGCTATGAAGGAAGCCAGTGTGGGAGCTACCCAGCCACCATGCGTAATTTTGCTGTCTCACTTCACCTGTTCTCAGCCAAGGCCTACGAGTGTGTAAGGAGGACGTTCCAGCTTCCAGAATCTACCGCCTTGCACACGTGCGTCTCTCTTACATGCGTAATATACCTCCACTACTGGACAAATGCTATGAGAAAACCTCCATCAGCAATGGGTACAGGCCTACAGAGCCTCATTCTTGAGCCTTGTCTGTAATCCTCAGAGCAAGCTAGGAAGACACAATTTAGAGACTCTGTTGAGCAAGGAAAGTCCCAGCACCTTCCTAGCCCAGCAACAAGAGGCCATGATTTGGAATTGGAATCTGCTCTCTTTCATAAGGGCCTGGACTCTCTTTCAGGCCTCCAGGGGGAGTGTGGCTGATCAAGAGAAACCTATAATACTAGGCAACGTGCATAGACCCAAGAGAAATATGCAAATTATGGCAGCAACCTCCACCTATTTCAGGGAGCAGGGCTGGAGGCCAGAGGACCATTGTTTCAGTATCCAAGAGTGATAAGAAGGGAGAAGCAGGAACCTCCCAGCCAGTTACTTAGACATTTGGTCTGGGCTGAGGATCAGGGAGTTGATATATAAACATTTTTGGAAAGTGGCCAATAACAGGCAGACCCTGGACTTAGCGAGAAGAGGAATTGTCAGCCTCCAGTGCTGTTAATGAGCCACGAGAGAGAAGGAGCTGTGCACAGGAATCAATAGAGAACCACAAAGTGGAGAGGGAGCAAAGAGGGGAAACAGCAGGGATCAGGGCCAGGCTTTCTAGCCAGTGTTTTCATTAATTACCTGGAGGTTGGAGTGGGATCAGACTTACTGATATCCCTGATGCAGAGGCATAGGAAACAGGAATCAATAGAGAACCACAAAGTGGAGAGGGAGCAAAGAGGGGAAACAGCAGGGATCAGGGCCAGGCTTTCTAGCCAGTGTTTTCATTAATTACCTGGAGGTTGGAGTGGGATCAGACTTACTGATATCCCTGATGCAGAGGCATAGGAAACAGGGGAGAGCAAACAGCTGAACAGGATGGAACAGGGAGAGCTGAAATCATCACGATGCATCAGTCTGAGATACCCTTTACACCCAGGGAGCACACAGATGTAAAGTGGAGGAACATGGGGAGGGGTAACCAGCCTGGGAAACCAATGGGGTGGGATGCAGAATTGTAAGTCTGGGGCTTGGGATTCTTGCTGTTGTGTTCAGATGCATCTCTAGGCAAATGGCAAACTCAGTCCCTCCAAATCTTTCAGAAGTGGCAAGCGATCTGTCTGAGCATCCCTACCCCAACCTCACACATTCTCCAAATCCATGCACCCACCCCACCTTTCCAGTAACAACCCTAATGTGCGAGGCACTTTCCAAACAAGGAAGAAGGCTGGGCAGACATTAGGGGCTAGGAGTGTTACAAACAGCTAATGAGGTGAAAGCAGTAAATGGCCACATTAAGTGTGAATGTTTTAATAACAAAGTTAACTTTTTTTTGAAAAAAGTTATCCCAATGTACATGCCGTCATTAGCTCTTTACTTAGGGTGTGTCTAGACTACAGGGTTTTGTCGACAAAAGTGGTCTTTTGTTGACAAAACTATACCTGTGTTTACACTGCCGCCGAGTTCTGTTGACATGACGTCAGCGGAACTCAGCAGTTTAGTCGATGGCTGTAAACCTCATTCTACGAGGAATAACGCCTTTTGTCAACAGAGTTCTGTCAACAGAAGGTGTTATTGCGTCTGCACTGTCATGTTGACAAAGCGGCTTGCTTTGTCGACAGAACTGGATGTAGTCTAGATGCTCTTTGTCGACAGAAGCTTTGTTGACAGTATCTGTCGACAAAACTTCTGTTGACAAAAGCCTGTAGTCTAGACGTACACTTACTTACAAACATCAGTATAGACGTTTATCTTTAGGGGTACGTCTGGACTACAGGCTTTTGTTTCTCAGGACAAACAGATACTGTTGACAAAGTGCGTCTAGACTACATCCAGTTCTGTCGACAAAGCAAGCTGCTTTGTGGACATGACAGCGTAGATGCAAAGGACAGTGTAGATGTAATAAAGCCTTCTGTCGACAGAACTCTGTCGACAAAAGGCGTTATTCCTCGTAGAATGTTTACAGCGGTCGACCAAACTGCTGAGTTCTGTAGTGTAGACGCAGGTATAGTTTTGTCGACAAAAGTCCACTTTTGTCGAGAAAACCCTGTAGTTTAGACACACCCTAGGAGAGATTTAACTGGAGAGAGGAGTAGCCTCACAGCTCTACAGGTGTTCCATAACCAGGACATGGGATGTTGAAATTAGTGGCAACTGCAGATAAAAAGGATTAGAATTATCCAGGACCTAGTTTGAATTTGCTGTCATGCATGAGTGAGGGCCAGGAAGATTCAAATAATGGAAAATAATATAGTCAGTGTAATGGGGAAGGAACATTATTTTGGTGGCATCCTTCTGTGTGGGAGCTGACAGAATCGAGAAAGGAAGGAGTTGCACTAGTCGAGATGGGAGATGGGAAGGGCTGGAATGTGAGTGGGATGGAGCAAAGTCTTGGAGGAAGGGAGCGGCAGAATTTGAATGCTACCTAGCTGCACTGGGAGAGAGAGATTGTAGGGGGCAGTTTACCCTGTTGAGATGAGTGCAAGACAGGCTGAAATGCAGGTTTAGATAGCAGTAATCATGAATCTGCAAACCCCACGAGAGTTGCTGTGGAGAAAAGGGAGGCCCAGTGAGGCAAGCAGAGGTAGGGGGACAAAGAGTAGAGGCCATCCAAAGTTGAAAGCGGATGTAGTTGATGGCACTGGAAGCAGAAGGGATTTCAAGACATGTAACAGTTCTGGAATTTAGCCAAGAAAATCTCATTAGAGACCTTGCTTAGCCCAGAGAAGTGGCTGTTAAAGACAACATACTAAATACCTCATTTCCATATACTGTCCCATACAGCCAGTGCCTATTCACTCTGATCTGAATACATCCTTTCCATTCATCCGCCACTTCGTCTCTCCCTTAGAGCCTGGGGACCTGGTACAAATGTATCTCTCCCTGATGGCAGCACTGTACATAGCTTGGGGTTGCTCCTTTGCACCTGGGCCCTAGCTACAGCTTTTGGGAGGTGTCTTTAAACCCAGCTTGCAGGTTCCCTCATTTTACTGAGTGAGTTTATTCTCATGCTGTTCTCTGCCTTTTCTAGACCATTTAGGTTCCTCTCTGCCCAACTCACCTCTCGTTGTCACCCCCTCGATGGATATTTCTACCCAGCCCCACTGATCTTAAGCGAGGCCCTGTTTCAGTGGCAAAGGTAAAGTGATAGTCCCTTCCATGAAGTGCCTCAGATCAGTCTGTTACCCTCCACATTACAGCCTGTTCTGTGGCTATCACGCCATTTACTTTCTGCTGCCCCCTGCACATGGGCAGAGTCTAACTGCCTGCACAACAGACTGTGGGAGCCCTAGTTAAAAAAACACAGCCTGACCTTTAGGCAGAGAAAGGCACGGTCCAGCTCTGAGTGAAAGTAAACAGCAGGAATGCAGAGGGTAAGGGGCAGACATAGCTTGTTGCAATAACTCACTGGGGCCCTGGTCAGGTTTCCACACACTTGCACCTGTTTTGTGCTTCAGTTCTAGTGCCAAGCAATCCTGCCATACAGAAACTGGCTGCAGCAAGTATTCCAGAGAGCCCTGGCTAGAGCTGCTATAGACCCAAAGGAAAAGGGTTTAGCAGCTCCTTAAGTTGGGGAAAAGACAGACATAGCTTGTTGCAATAACTCACTGGGGCCCTGGTCAGGTTTCCACACACTTGCACCTGTTTTGTGCTTCAGTTCTAGTGCCAAGCAATCCTGCCATACAGAAACTGGCTGCAGCAAGTATTCCAGAGAGCCCTGGCTAGAGCTGCTATAGACCCAAAGGAAAAGGGTTTAGCAGCTCCTTAAGTTGGGGAAAAGAGATGGCGGTGGAGGGTTGTAAATTTAAGCCTCGTCCACAACAGCACCAAGCACTATGAAGGTTCTTGGGCACAATACATTGGCTATTGAGTGGTTGGTGGATGTTGATTACCCCCGTCAACTCCCACCCACAGATGGAAGCAAGTTTCCCCACTGGTTCTGGGTTCCACAGTAAGGCAATGTCTACACTCGCGGCTTCTTGCGCAAGTAATATGCAAACGAGGCTAAGTGTGGAATATCGCCGAGCTTCATTTGCATACCTAATGAGCCACTCTTGTGCAAGGAGCATCTACATTACCCCTTCTTGCGCAAGAAAAACCCTCTTGCGCAATGCCGTTACACCTATTACTTTTCAGGAAGAACGGCGCTGCGCAAGAGGGTTTTTCTTGCGCAAAAAGGGGTAATGTAGATGCTCCTTGCACAAGAGCCTCTTCTGAAAAAAAATGGTGGCTCATTAGGTGTGCAAATGAGGCTTGGCCATATTCCACGCTTAGCCTCATTTGCATATTACTTGCGCAAGAAGCCACGAGTGTAGACATAGCCTAACAGTGTTCATCCCAGACACTATGGAGCATGGGCAATTGCAGTAGGTGGGACAGCTCACATCAGCTGCTGTTTTGTGGAACTTCTGAAAGAGAGGCATGATCACCATCAGACACTCTTGAATTGCTTCTTCCAAGCAGACTCACAGGCCCTCCTATAGCAGCCAGAATAGCCACACACAGCTTCCCCCTTCTGGGAATAGAGAAGTCTTCACTGCTAACTCAAGGTATGTTTTCTTGGAAGAGCTTTGTTATATTAGTGATTTCATGTGGAAAACAGTTGCATACTGTGGTTCCTGGGCACATTGGTAATCTAACACACTGGGGCTGTTGAAGTTTAATTTTGCTGGTATTCAAAACTGTAGCTGCAACTAGTGCCTGTCTAGCTCTCTGGCTTTCTCAAAGTATCACATGCAACCACATGATATGGCAGTGTGGATTGGGGCCGGGGCTAAGAAAACTGGTTGATGCTGAACACTTAAGAGCTAATTTTCGGCTGAGTGGAGGAACAGAACCCGTTCTAACAAGCACAGGACTGTAGTTCAGCATCATCGAAACACAGTATTTAAACTGAATCTTTCAACAGGCTTCTGAAATAGTCTTAAACCAGAAATCATTTTAGGAATTGTCAAAGTCAGACAGGACTCACAGATTTGGCAGACCGCTCGGTTTATTTCAGCAAAGCTTTGCTAAAATGCATCCAGAAAAATGTGAGCCCCGTACAAGGTTCAAACCCCTTGATTTATACAGTCAAAAGGCCAAGTTAACAAGATCAAAGGGTGTGGCAAAACTTCACATTATTAGTGTGGTTAAGTATCTTCATTTCAATATCAAGCACACAGCAATATCCTGGCTATAACTCCCTGATTATCTGGAATTGCTTTCTGTCTAACACCTAATGTTCCTTTTCCTGTTAAACTCAGGCCCAAATTGGCTAGCACCTTGATCTGCATACCTACAATCAACATTAACATACTTTTCTTCTTCCTCTTAAAAAGACAAACAGAATTCCTTCAATTTATTCAATTATTACAGCACAATTCATCTTTTTCTTACAGTATAATTCTTTCTACTTTCACAGAATCTAACAGCCCCCAACCACATCAACCAGATATGGAAAAGGGCATTGGGTTGCATTATAGTTTTGTATCCAATTTTATTTGTCAGACTTCTGCCAACATCAGAGGTTTATCAGGACATAATTGTATCAGTCTGGTAAACAAGTATACACACAGCTGTTTGTACAGAGTTTTGCACTGTGTGGAAATCACCAGCAGATGTGTTAAGTATGGTTGGTTAGTTTGTTTTCAAGTAAGTTCTTCACTACATAGGCTCCATATTCTGCTAATCCATTTGTTTTTCAGGCTTTTCATACTCTTGTCCTGCCAAGATTTTAATAAGGCCCCAAACCTCCCCGGTTTTAATGTCTGGCTCCTTGTTCATTACTAAAGTTCTTGGTATTTTATGGAATTCCCTGTGCACAATCTTGGCTTTCTGGACCTGGTCACAAAAGCTGAGGAGTTTTTAGGTGTTGATATTTCTGAAAAGTTGCAAACAGTCTATTATGATCAGGTGGTCATGTTTTCTCAGGACAAACAAAACCTCTTCAGACTTTGTCCTCAGGAGGTACAATGTATTCATTCGGTGTCCAGGTTATTTCTGTTATGCTTCTCTATACCTCCTACTATCTTTTACATACATCAACATTTTTTTTTAATGTCACTGACCAAAATACAGTCTCTAAAAAGGAGAATTATGGACAGTCATTCATTCTGAATTGCTTTTCCTATGTTCTTCCCCATATTTCCTTGTCACAATGGGAAGGATTATTTGTTTTTGTCAGGTCTTTTCTGAAAATGATTATGAAACCTCCCATATAAGTTAGATATGCAATTGGAAAGAATAGATTACTCCATTGATTACTCATTGTTTGTAGGAAGTCTTAAAGGGATAGCTGTGTTAGGGTGTGTCTACACTGCACCGTTATTCAGGAATAATGGCTGCTATTCCAGAAAAACAATAGTAGTATCCAAATAGCAGTTGCATTATTTTGAAATAAAATCAAAATAATGGAGGGCTTTTTCCAACATTGGTAAACCTCATTCCACGAGGAATAATGCCTCTTCCGAAAAAGTTCTTTTGGAAGAAGATGTGTATGGATGATCTACTGCTGCTATGTTGAAATAGCTCCTCACCAGGGCTATTCTAAGTTATTCTTCCCCAGTGCCTCCTGGGCCTCTACATTGAGATAGTGCATCCACATTAGGGGAGCCTGCCTCAGACTAATTTTGAGGCTTCCCTGTAGTGTGGATGCTTTATTTCAAAATAAGCTTGTAGTGTAGACATATGCTTAGTCAGTAATTTTAAAAACAATGAGAAGTCTGCGGCACCTTCAAGAAAAACAAATACATGGTCATGAACTCTTGTGGGTAAAACCCACTTCATAGTTTTACCCCTGCAAGTTCATGACCTAATATGTTTTGTTTATAGGATTTATCCTGGGCCTGTTTTCCCTCTAATTCATCTTCTGTTCCTGTCCAGGATGCTTCTATCACATTCATACGTAGTAGGGATGTGAGCAACTAGTTGACTAGTCGCTTCCTCTCCTCTAAAGGTTTCCAGTCACCTTTAGAGTTGTTTCTGAAGTTCAGGAGCGGAACTGCCTTAGATCATGATGTATAAGATTATCAGTGTACATTTTCACACCTGAAACACTGCACAAAGAAATACTTTCCAATGCCAAATATATCCCAAACTGTAACCCAAACTGTAGTCCAACCATCTCCCCCATCTCAGTCTGGCATAAATATTGACTAGGATGGGAGTCTTAATAGAACCTCAAGATGTTCCACATGGGATAGCCCTTTGGGCAATCACCATAATGGGTCTTTGGAAGAGAAAGTAGAATTGAGCCACGCAAGCAATGCCAACTACTCCAGCAGCAGTCCATAGAGGAATCAACAAAACCCAGGGTGAATGGTATTGAAAGTAGGGATGTAAGTAGTCAAGTACTCAACTGCTCACTTTGCCACCCCACACTGCCTCTGTATCAGAAGCAGCAAGAGATGGGGAACAGAAACCGGTGCTGGGGGAAGCTGGCTTAAAAGCTGGTTCCCCCCAGCACCATCTCCACCTGCCCCCTCCCCATGCTGCTATCTCTGTCGGAGGAGAGTGGGGAGTGGAGGTATGGGAGGCTGCCATGAAGCACAGCCACAGTGGTCCCAGCACTCTCCTGGCTTGCGACTATCCAGGACCGACACCCACTGCATCTCTGCAGTTTAGAGCCACAGTGGTCCCAGCACTCTCCAGGACCGACACCCACTGCATCTCTGCAGTTTAAATGTAGTATAAGCCGAGCTGCCTGCATGCCCAGCTCCTATTACATTTAAACTGCAGAGCTGCAGTGGGGTTAGCTTCTGGAGCGGTGGGGGCTGGGACAGAGCACCTTCCCTAATTGACTAATCATGTAGACGATACAAGTTGTATTGATTAGTCAGTTACCTGCCTCTTAACATCCCTATTTGAAAGGTAATAGCAGATGAGAACAGTTACCATGGACTCTTGACTTTCCAGTCCCTTTGAGAAGAGGAGTCAAACCTACCAAGGCTTTTTCAGGGTCATACCCATGGCAACCTGAAAGGGTTCAAAACAGAAGCTACTCTAAGGTTTCTTTACTGCAATTTTGAAGACAAAATTTTCCTAAATAGAGAAGCTTAATAACTGAGCACCCTTCAAGCAACTGTGGATCCAAGAGCTCTCAAATTTTACCAACAGGAGCATAGAGGGCAAGTGAGAGGGTGTTCCTCAACAGCCAGGTAGCAGTATGTGCCAATGGTCCATCCCAGCATGAGCCATTCTTTCCAATATGCAGAATACATAACTGTGTAGGGCACTCAAAAATTTGGGGAAATCACTGGGTCTTAATGTCCATTCACCCACCTCTTTCTAGCCCTGTTCCGTGGCTCTGTATGCCAGGCTTAGGGCAGGTCTGTACTAAAACCAAAAGGTCAGCTTAAGGTACAGAACTCCAGATACATAAATAACTGAGTACCTTAAGCAGAGTTTTGATGCTGTCCCCATAGTGGGAGGTCAATGAGAGAAAGGCTCCCCGTCAATCTTCCTTCCTTTACTAGACCTGCTAAGGCATCGATCTCCATGGCAGCAAAGACAACCCCCCAGCAGCAGAACACTGAACTTGTGAAAGAGCCATTCAAGTGGTAATGAAGCCATTTAACAGGCATTTGCCAACCCCAGGTATGTGCTGTCAGTTTCTGACCTTACGGTGTTAGTCTACGGGACCTTACTTTAAAATATTTCATTAGGGTGTTGCTGAGGAGTATAATAAAAAAAAAAAACAACACACCACCTCTTTTTAAAAAAAATTCCCCCTGGAGGGCTGCCATCAGTCATGTAGGTGCAAGTTTAATACTACTGCGTAGGGCCCCATCAATCCTAAGAACAGCCCTGAGCCACGGAGACCCTTCCCTCCACCTCCAAATTTCTACAGTGCTCAGACACAGCAGAAGTCTTTTCTCAATCTCTTTTTATTTATTAGAAAATCCCTACAGTTCTAGAATTTTAAAATGAAGCATTGATTACAAGTAATAACTGTCCCCAGAGAGTCCAGAAATTGCTGCACATGCTGTTGATGTGGATTATGGGCCTAGCAGTGACCTGGTGACCTCTGCAGGAGATGCTGGTATATAGGTGAGACACAACCCTCAGGATGAGTGTAACAATCATGACACCACACTTTTGACATAGTTAGCGGGATAGAGTCCAACCTGGCCATTGCTAAGCCGGCCTTTGCACCAGCCCTGCTCATCCTCTTCACTGATCTTCATTAGTTCTTCACCTAAAGAAGAAACAGCACAAGCTTCGCCAGTGAAAAGGAGTCAAGAGAGTGTGCCCACCTCCAAGTGTCTGGATAGTTCCCTATGGGCAAGTGGGTATGACCCTCCTGTCACAATGTCAGACAGGTGAAATGTAGCAACCAAGTCTAATCTTAATCTCATCACAACACATCTCAATATTTCCCACTGGACTAGAACCATCTTGCAGGCATGCAACTCTACAGCAGGAGCTCTTGGAGGAGGATATATTTCTCACAAAGCATTATTTTTGCTAGATAAGGAGACCAGTACCTGAGATCAAGAGAAGGCCCATGGGCAACACTGGTTTTCCCAAGTTTCAGTGCTGGAACTGAACTTCTCTCTGGTACAAGGCTCCTTCGATGCAGTCGGGAAGGACTAGTGCGAAACCCCTGAGCTGTAGCTGTTAGATGCTCACTTGGCCAAAGCCCAGGTGGTCAGCAAGCTATGGAATGGGCTAATTTTCCCACAGAGATTATCCAGGCAAGGCTCTCCTTCCTTTCCCCAGCTTTGCACTCTCGGAAAGGGAAGGAATGGGACACTCTCCACCAAGACAAATCCTTTGTCTCTATCATGACAAGGAAACTTGACTGCCATTATGGAACTGTCCAATTGTTCAGAGACTGGGGGGATGGGGGGGGGAAGTCACTTTGCAAGCCAGGTTGAATTCAAGCCCTACTGATGCATGCTGGTCATAGCAGCATCTTGGTGGAATGAGCTAATCCCAGCACTGATGGGACCAACTGGTTTGCATTAGAGCTGTTGTTTGGGAGGGAGAGCTGGGGCCTTTGGGCTGGCTACCTTCCTTCTCCTCCCAGCTCACAGGGGTCAGGAAGAGAAATTGCATCTACCATGTCCTCTGGGGTAAATGATCCTGATCCACCTTCTTGCTGAGATTGCTTTAAAGCTGTTCTACTAAGCCAGTACATGAGTTAGTGCCAAGAAATCTAAAAGTGATGAGTCAGCAACACAGATGATGGCTTCATGCACCAGACCCTTATGGGGCCAGGGATTTTAGTACCTACAAAAAGGAGTCTTGTTTCTGCAAGTGAGTCAATGCAAGCAAGATTAGAAACGCTCCCAAGATCCAGATGGCTCCTTGGAAGATTGGGGAGGAGTCGGCAAAGTGTTAACAGCTAAGGTGGTGAGAGAGGGCCCAACATTCTCTCTCATCTACTGGAAACTGACTGCTCCAGTCCCAGAAGGCACTCATGCCTTAGGTGGTAGCTTCTAGAGCTTCCTCCTGCTAACCTAACTTCAGTTTGTCGGCCAAGAACTTAAATTCCCACAAAATAGCTCTCTGGGGTAGGGATGTAAGCGGATAGTTGACTACCCCCTAAAGCCTAGGCTTAGTGGGTAGTTGAGTCACTCCTCTACTACTTGTTCCCCTCCCCCCCCTTGCTGCTTCTGATACAGAGGCAGCAAAGGGGTGGGAAAAGCGGGAACTGGTGCTAGGGGGAGCTGGCTTAAAAAGGGAGGCAGAGGTGCAGCAATCCAGGACCTGGTGGGAGCTGGGACTGCTCAGTCCTGGCTTGCACCAGGTCCTGGATCTACCCCCGCTGCAGCTTTGCAGTTTAAATGTAGGAAGAGCTGGGCTGCCTGCGTGCCCAGCTCCTACTACATTTAAACTGAAGAAACGCAGCAGGTCCCTTTATCGACTAATCATGTAGTCAATTAATTGTATTGACTACACAATTAATCAGTTATCCACTTCTTAACATTTTTACTCTGTGGCCATTTTATAAAAAAAGGCAAGAAAAGGCACTTTATAAGGACACCCAAACTCTCACCCTGTAAGTTCCCAGGGAAAGGTTAAGAGAGTATTTTCATACTTCTGGCCCAAAGGAGCAACATTTGCTAAATGCTCAGAAATACATCCAGCAAGGAGACTGTCTGATCCCCACCCTCCATGTCTTTGTTCAATGTTTCCACCACACACCCACCCACCCTGAAACGTTCTATCTGCAGCCTGTGAATGCCTTGCTACGTGCCTCCTCCACAATATGAGCCCTGCTGATTCCCTGACTGAGCAGAGTGGCACAAAGAGGCACTGCCCTGCCCAGTGCTATGCCCTTCTCCAGGAGCAGTGTGCAAAGACAATGAACAGATCCCAAGGAGCTATCCAGATCTCACAGGGGGAGGTTTCCAACCATCTGCCCAAGTGGTAGTGGCAAAAGGGTTAGTGCTTTTGTACCTGCTTTAAAGCTCAGTTCATCAGCCTCCTGTCCTGTGTAATCATACAGCGCTCGCACCTGCACGCCTGGTACCTTTATGTCCTCCTCGTGCCCATTGGTATCCAAGCATTTTCTGGGAGTGTCATCATCGGACCACTCCGACACATCCTCTTTGCCTCCGCTGCGTGTTTGAGGAGAAAACAGACAAAACAAACACAGGCTCATTTCAGACTCAGGGCTGACTCTTATGTGCCTCCCCATCTGAATCCTGCACCATCCTAGAGCCCCATGACAATGCTGTAGAGCCAAGAGGAAACAGAGGCCTGATAGGAGGGTGGAGGTGTACAGGAAGGAGAGAGACCAGGACAAGTTAGATTTGGCTGAAAGCAGCCTAGAAAATTGCAGAACCTCAGGGGGTGGGTAACTTGTCCAAACTGCATCCTCCCTTTCAAGCCCCAACCCCAGTCAAACATGCCTCACCCTGAACAGGCCAAGCCAATTCTAACACAAGGAAGTCTGGGTATTTCCAAAACATGCTCAGCTGGAAACAGCCCATGAGAGAGAAAGGAGGCTATAATTCCCCCCCCCCCCACACGCAGACTTAGCTGATCTCCCTAACTCAGGGGCCACAGCAGAGGAGAAAGGAAGAGCAGAAGACAGATACTTTGAGCCCAGACACCCTCTGGGGTAGGTCATGTTCCATACTAACTTCACATAGGCTGATGCCCTCAGGGTGTCATAGAAGAAACTGTTCTGCTCCGCTTGGTAGGAAAACCTGTGGATTGGCAAATAGGGCCCTGAATCCAGCTGACTGGGGAAGGTCAGCATCCTGGAAAGAGCTCTACATTGTTTCCAATTCCTTCTCTCCCTTCCCTGCCATGTCCAATTCTAGGCTTCATTTATACCAGCAGACGAGGTCTTCTTGAGCAGGAATAAAGTGGATACCATAGGAGACTGACCTCCTAAGCCCTTCCCCATTCTCCAGTTCATTTGCTAAAGATCCTGGAAGAGAAAGTAGCTATCTGAACCATATAAATGGTCAGTCACCCTTGGGCTTGTCAACTTTTGATCATGTAGCACCCACACTAGACCATGGGAAATAAGATGCATATCTAGGGAAGAAATTCTTGTTCAAACATCTGGGACTGCTGGTGTACCCGGGGAAAGATTTCTAGTTTCCAGTTTTCATGGGATTTTTCTATCTCTTAGAGATAAAAAGCAGCTGAAGGCAAAATCCTACCAGCTTCCTCCCCCACCTCCGCAGAATCCTGCTCATCAGTGAATCAGACTAAGCAGACCCCTGCTACGATGGGATACAGAAGAGACCTCAGCACAGAGCCAGGCCAATAGGAGAGGAAGGTCCCAGCCCTGGCACCACCATGATACTGCATGTGGACAGCAGAAGAGATCCTCCCAGTATCCCATCCAAATGCTCCAAGCAAGCCCCTTTCTCTGCCCAATTCATCTCTCTGAGTTGTACAGGCATGGACACTGCTTGAGGTCACCAATTTCCAGCCTAATGATTATAAAAAAAAAAAAAAAAAAAAAAAAAAAAAAGAGAGAGAAAAAACAAAAACTGACTCCTATCTGCACAGCTAGTTCATGCCCCAGGGCATGATTATTCCTCTCCAGTATGTCCCAAGATGCAACCCTTACCCTCGCCGTATCTGTGGAGGGGTCTGAGAGAGACCATCCCCTGTGGTCACAATACTGGTCAGGGTCACATCTTCAGCACTTTTACTGCCTTTCTCCTTCTTGCTGATTGGCCGCTGGGTTTCCAGGGTCCATTCCTGCCCAGAAGGAAAGGTTCATCAGTTCCCTAAGTCCAGAGAGTTTTACACAGTTTATTCTAGAGCCAGGGAGGAAGATAGGGAGCCCAAGAACACAGCACCATATTTAACTAATGACTAAGCAATACAATAGAGTAGTCTGTCATATAAGAGCCATGCTGAGCCAGTAGGATCATGCCTGAGGATTGGGAATGTGGAGGAAAGATGGAATATGCAGTATGTGTCTACCTTTAGCATATACCCTCATCCCTGACCACATGCGGGAGGGGGAAGCCTGAATGATTGCAGTTTAGCTGGAATGGCCTCTCCCCAATGGCCACAGAGGTTGAATTTCCAATACTGTACCCTCTAAGAAAGAAGAAAGGTGCAAACATCATGATCCCAGGTGAGCAGGGGCTGAGCCTTTTCCAGTGGGAAGAGGCTCAGAGAGCAGGGGGAATCCAGAGCATACAAGTTCAATAAAGTAGATCTGCAGCATGCAGAAATGCACTCTAGAGGGATATGCTACCTCAAACTGTGGCCAATTCATGGCCATGCCTGGCCCATGAGTGTTGCGCCACCATTTCAGATCTTCCTGGTCATCTGCAGCCACGATTCCCTGGTACAGATCCCGGTACAGTGCATGGAAACTGCAATCAGAAGCAGAACCAACATCAGTGAGCAAATTCCTGCACAGTTTCATTCAGGTCTCTGTTTCACTTCCCCATCGTCCTTCTTCAGGAATCACTGAGGATTCTAGAGGCCTTTAACCCTACAGCATTTCACAAGCCACACACATCCTGCTCCATGGAAACATCATCCCCCTCAGAGATGGCGCAGAGAGCCATTTGGCCTGTCTCACAGGCATGGATGGCCTGGATACCCTGCTGCTGGAGCTTGAAAAGAGTAAGCAGAATCCCATGAAGAAAACCAGGGAAATAGGTTTGACTTGTACATTCCTAGACCTTGCCCACAAATTCTCTTGGGAGGCTGCAACAACTTCCCTCATTCCCCTGCACAGTATGAGGTTTGTAGTCAAACCGCCTGGCTCATGTCTCCTCAAAAGGGTTAAATGTCTCCAGCCATTGGAGGGAATGGGATGGTGATGGTCTTCAGAGACTGTGGAGCAGTGAGTTGGGGTATGTCTACCCCACACGTAGGAGGGAATCTCCTAGCCTGACTTGTGTCAGTGGAGCTTGTGTGCTAAAAATAATTGTGCAGACACAATGGCTCAGGCTGGAGCTCAAGCTCTGAAGCCTGGGGATGGGCCTGAGCTCTCAGGTGCACCATAAACATTCGTAGAGCTGGGGCAATAAAGCAGCCCACAGGCCAACTGCGGTTTGCAGAGTTAGCCCCTGGAGGGCTGCTAGATGCTTTATTTACCTACATGTCCATGGGTATGGCCGCCTGTCGCTACCGTTGACTGTGGATTGCTGTTCCTGGCCACTGGGAGTGACAGGAAGCAACACAGGCTGGGCCGCTGCTTCCAATGGGAGCTGCGAGTGGCCATAACTGTGGATGTGCAGGTAAAATAGAGTGTCTGGTGGCCCACCATGGGCTAACTGGCAAACCACATCCAGCCCATGGGCCGCTTATTCCTCACATCTGTCTTCGAGATATTTAAACAGCCTTCACTTCAAAGTGAAGGAGAAAACAGATTAAAGACTCACACCACAAGATGGTATTTGGTGGTAGGAAGGATGGACTCCTCAAGAATCAGAGAAAGAAAGAAACTGAGGCGAGGCCCTCTCTGAATAAAACCAGACAAGATGTGGCTGGACCACAGATATTCACTTAGACACATTAAAAGGGGAAATAGGCACAAGCCCCCCAACAGGCACCAGATGCTCTCCTTCCCCAGAGGCCGTGGAGCAGACACCCCCTGTCCCAGATCAGGGCGCAATGAACAGACGAGTACCTTTCATTGGTGGAGATGTTGAGGTGCTGGTGCAGATCCAGGAACATCTCCTTGAAGAAACACAGTCGCTTGCATTCTGCCTCCTGGCAGCCCTCAAACACCTGTTCCATATCCTCCATGTAGCGGGGATTGTAGCGGTTTAGCTCCTCTAGCATCTTCTCATATTGATCCTTACACTGCAGCAATTGGGAGGAAGAACAAACATCAACCAACCAGCACTGGTGCCAACTCCCTGCTCTCCACCCTCTCTGACCTTCGCCCCACCCCCCTGCTCCAAACACACACACCTTGGTACCCAAGAACTTCCTCCCCTGTTCTCCTGTTCATCAGGTGACCCTGTTCACATTCCCCTGCACAGCTAAGTATAGGACCTGGGGAACATCAGTGGTACCCAGACAAGCCACTTTCTCCCCAGAGTCAAGCTCGTGTTCCTGCCATGTCAGAGACCCCTGATGTTTTTGACCCCCTTCCAGTTTCTCCTGTGGCAGCGACTTCCCCAGTTGGAGGTGGAAGGAGAAAGGAGGGAGATCGACACACACAGCTCTCTGGCCCTCTTCTCCACAGAATAGCTCTACTACCCAGCATTCAGCTGGACACGCATACTGGTCACTCTTGTGCCAGAGCCTTCAAGAAGCAGCCTCAAATTATTTGTTATACAGCAACAGGTACATTGCCTGACCCCTGTCACCAGCACCTGAGTAGCCATAGGTCAATCCCATGAGGTACTGAACTCCCTCACCTTCCACTGATATGAGCAACCAAGGAGAATATTCAGCACCTTGTAGGACCAGGAGCCAATGTGAGTGTGTTTGAAGCCAGCAGACATTTTGAGTCTCTTGTCCCTGCATCACACCAGTATAAGGACCCCTAAATGGTATGAGTCTACATAAGGTTCACCCACCTTTTCTGCTTCTTGTGAACATTTCTCCACACGGTCCTCCAGCTTGCGTATCTGCTCCTGTGAGATGGAGGAATCTGCCTTGGCATGGTTCTCCCGTGTCTGTGCAGTCTTCTCATCTTTCCGGGCTGCGTGGTAGTTCTTCTTAGAGGTCTCCACCTAACACAAGTAGTTCTGTAAAAACATAGCAATGTGCCCCAGTGCAAACTTCCCTGCCCCTTTCGTGTTGCTGGGGAGGAAAAAGGGGGTTGGTAGATGTTTTTCAGCCTCTGCTATTGGACAGAGGCCAGCTCAGTCTGGCTTCCACTGAATGACGCAGCCAGGAAGTCCTCTGCTGAAGTCACAGACCACCCACAGGAAGCCCGGCCTACCAGCCCCAGATAGATCTGCACCAAGGAAGGCTGCAAGTCTGCCATGGGCCAGGAGTCAGTCTCAACTAACAGAACCAACCCTCACAGCCAAAGAGACCTATATAAAGTGTACCCAACCAAAGTGCACTCCAGGCAAAAAATGTCTAGCCCCAGCATCCCAGCCGCCTCCTCCTTATACACACTCCTTGCTCACATCTTTCAGCTTCTTCACCCAGGGTTTCTGGGCCTTACGGAATCCATCCTCTGCCTCTTTAGTCTCTTTAAAGCCACCAATCATCTGCTTATGGTAGGCCTCCTTCTGCCAGGCCTTGATCTTATCTGCATCTTCACCAGCGAGATGGTTCCGCACCTCTAGATGGATCTCGCTCAGCCTGTCTGCCGCAGTCAGGAAAGCATGCCAGGTCTTCTCTAGGGTTCCATACTGAGGGCCTGAAGAGGCAAACAGGAAAGTGGCCATTACAACCCCATGTCCACTGATATGGGGACAAAGTTCAGAAACTAGCCACCTCTCATCATACAAAAGACATCTCTGCCCACCACCAGCATTCAAGACAATGTGGACTGTTCTCTGCATAGACAGGAAAGAGAGGAAGGACTGGGTGTTACAGTTAGCAGAATTAAGTATTAGCAATGAACAACCCTAACTGTTAATCTGGTCCTGCCCCAATCAGTGCAGGATGGGACCCTACAAAAATATTCCTCAGGGGCTTTGCCTGACTCGAGCTTAGAAGAGGTCAACAATGGCAGCTTTCTGGCTAGAGCTTAGAGTCAGTGTCACAGACTAGTGGGTACTTTCGAACATCTGTTCTAATACCCCCTAATTCCTTGTTACACTCTAAGGCTCCACCATCTCTAAGGCTCCACCATCTTGTGATCCAAATGCCAATTACCAGCCATAAGATACTCTTAGGCACGTGTGTCCCTGTACTCTCCTCCCAGGCTACAGGTCTTCCTTTGTACACCACTCCATGAAAGCTGAACCCTCCAGCACTAAGTTTGGGACATCTCCCCCTTCCAGAATGGCAAACTTTTTTGTAATGGATCACTTAGAAATGCAGAGGGAGCCTCCTTTTCCTGCAGGGGTCAGAGAACTGGTGCCCAGAAAGGAACTACAGAGCACCTCTGGAACTACTTGGTTTGAGCTAGGAAAGAATACACAAGATCCAGCTCCATGCTGTCCAATGGGTGTGCTTGTTTCCTACAGAGGACCCCAACCACAACAATAGATGGTGCTCTAGGAACAGAGAGCTTCTCCTAAAAAACCTGTGCCCACCCCAGTCTGCCTTCCTCACCCTTCTCCACAGCTGTCCTCCATTTGCGGGACCACTCTGTTAGCTGCTGAGCATAGTTCTTCTCAATCTTGGCTCGCTCTTGGAAGCAGGAGATGAGGTCATTACAGAGCCGGTGCCCATCATCCACACGTTTCACTGTCCGCTTGTAGTTACCAGCCTGAAAGAGCAGACAGTGCACTGATTTCAAACTCACCCACCCACCCTAAGAGCCAGAGTCAGCAGGTCAGGCCACCAGATAGTTAGGGCAGGTCCTGCTGAGGCTAGCAGCCTGGCTAGGACCCCACCGAGTGCCTCCACAGGAGGAAGTGAATGTATTCTGGGAGGGCTTAAAGAGAGGTTCTGGCTGCATATTCATCTAGACCTGAAATCAACACCAGTGGGGAACAAGAGGCATCACTCAGTAGCTTCTGGGAAGGAAGGGACCATCTTTCTTGGACACCAAGAGCTATACACTTTACTGAGTCCCTCTCCAGTACCCCAATCCCAAAAGCAAGTCATTCTCTCTCCCTTCCTCTCACTCCAGGGGTATAGCTTATTACCCAGAGAGCTTGAGAACTGAGCCCTAACTCTATGGGTGATACATAATAGACACTGCCCTCCCTCCTAATGATTCCTCTTACCTCCCAAAAACTGCCCCCAGAAGCCTCTCCACCAACATCATCTTCTGATGACATAACCCTGGTTTTCTTGCAGCAAAGAATTTTTGCAGATTTTAATGCAGCTGGAAAGAGAGAAAAGCCATTTGTAGCATGACAATATCCAGGACCGAGCCACGCTCCAGCCTGACAACTCAACATTCTCTGGCATTCTCTGTAAGCCGTGCACTTGTGCGGCCAATCAGGCGAGATTCCAATGCCGCCCCGCTGATTAGCAGAGCAGCCACAGATAAGTTTTTGTTTCTACTGGTGGTGCACATTCACACATGCCTTGGTGCAAAAAATAAAAATAAAAAAAAAATTACTCTGCACCTGCATAGAAAAAGATTAGAGGGAACATTGCTCAGAGACATTTATGGAAGGGATTTGAGTGAGTTCCGACCAATTGCCAGCGGGCAAGTGTCCATATCACAGCACCACTGTCCTTGACCAACTCCCTTGCTCAGTTCCAAGCCAGGAGGTCAGAACTAAAACAGGAAACATAGACTCAACTCCTCTCCTGGCTAGAAAGGATCCATTCAAGAGAAGCCAGTGACACATTGGAAGGGATGTTGTGGAAGAAACTGGCCCTGCTACCACCCAGGCTGTACCTGTCCTGGAGACACTGGTAAAGCCAGCACCTTTCACCAGCACTGTTAGTCTCAGCAGAGACTGCTTCTTTTCGCACCAAGAGCGTCAGAGGAAGAAACATTGAACTACTGAGCATGCTCAGCAATGAAACTCTCAAAATAAGTTGTACTGAGAGAGATGACTCTGGTGTCCCAATATAAAAGAATGAGGAGGATTAAGGGATTACTTCAGTTACTGACTAGAGAAAACAAAGCCTGATGGTCACCAGGAAGGCATGTCCTGAATGGGGTGCCGCCTGCAGGAATGGGAAGGGAATCATAGCCACACCTAGTGCCATTGATTCAAGGATGTGCTTAGGTTTCTGGGCAGCAGCACTTTCTTGGGAACACCCCCGCTGGGTAATCAATGCTCACGTCATGCCACAGTCTCCATCACCACATTCCTGTGCTGGGCACAAGGAATCTAGTGCAGACAGCGACGGCGCAGCAGCACTTTCTTGGGAACACCCCAGCTGGGTAATCAATGCTCACGTCACGCCACAGTCTCCGTCACCACATTCCTGTGCTGGGCACAAGGAATCTAGTGCAGACAGCGACGGAGGCCCCATCTCACCCCAAACTTATACACTGTCACTAACAATTCCTATTCAGCCCAATATGTAATTTTTTGGCTGAGACTGGATCCTGGCACTGCTGTCACATAAGGATCCTGGCATTACCACCCTTTGGGAGAGGCAGGGGGAAACTGGAGAAAGGAGCATAGACAGACATATCCCAGGTTTGGTTAATATAGGATCAGCATGCTTTGCTGCTGCTCTTCTCCTCTTACACATTCCCAGTTATAAAAAGCTTCCCTCACACCCTAGAAAAGTATCTGCTCACTCTGCCAGCCCCAAAGCAGTACTCACACAGCAGAAGCAGCCTGAGATGAGTCCAAGAGACCAGGTTTCCCCATGACCCCTCAGTGTCTTTTTTTTTTTTTTTTTTTAGACCAGGTTTCCCCATGACACCTCAGTGTCTGCTTTCTGGTGAACCACTCAAAAAAAAAAAATCCCTGGTAGACTTCAGAAGACACACAGAGGGAACCAAGGAGAGGGTTAAGTACCATCTGCCTAGCAACACATTCAGATAACATGAAGGGTAGTAGAGGTGCATCAAGGAAATTCTTCTGGCTTTCCAAGAAAGTTCCAACTTCCCCCAAACCATCTATCCTCTAGGAAACACAGTTAGAGGAGCCAGTCATCATACCAAGTGAAAGAACTTTGCATGAATACAAGTCCATTGGTTCTACTCCTGTGCCCAGCAACAAAGTAACTACATACCTGAAAGAGAGAAGAATGAGGACTGTGGAAGCCCCAGCTGCCAGGAGTGATTTCTTGGGTTCGTCCAAGTCCTCTAAACGTGGTGGCGAGGAAAGAGATGCACAGACAGTTAGACCCTGCTGCTCTGACAAGTAACAGTCCTCGGAGAGGAACCTGGGTCTCTCTCTATGCTCAAGGAAAGGAGGGGCACCCCCCAGCAGTTGCTGCCACTCTCCATCTTTGAAGGTGCCACATTTCAGCATAGAGAGGAGATGCCAAATCCCTGTGTCACAAGATCCATTCTCAGAGACTTCAAAATAGAAGCAACAGAGCAGCATGACAGCATCGTGCGGGAAAGGTGCCGTTATAACAGCTGAGCAAATGAACAACCCACTGCTGGAATGGACTAAACTAAATGAGGTTTCCCAGGCTCAGCAGCTGCACTGAGCTTGGTCCTCCCTTCTGTTGCAGTACAGCCTATATGTCTTGTCTAGCTTCCCCCCACTGCTGCTCGCACTTGGTTTTTCAATTAAGCCTCGTGCAATTTATCATTCAATGCAGGAGAAACAAGAAGCCAAAAGAGCCAAGCAAGGATGTAACCTTTCGATTAACTGGCTAATCGATTAGTCAATGCAAATTGCATTGACTAGTCAATTAGTCAATAAGGGCACCTCTGCCTTTGAAATGTAGCAACAGCTCCAGGGCTGTGGCTATACTTCAAAGGTGAAAGCTCTGCAGAGAGAACAGGGCCAGCAGGGGACTCAAGCTGTCCCCTGCTGGCCCAGTGCTCCATGCAACATTTCAAAGAGGCAATGCTGCATGGAGCCTGGGGCAGTCCCTAGCTGAGCCCAGGCTCCACGTGGTGCTGCCACTTTTGAAACACCATGTGCAGCTGGCCCTGGTTGGTCTCTGGCTGGCTCTGGGCTGCACACAAAATTTTAAAGCGGGACCACCGTTCCGACTCCAACTGGTCTGGCCCCAGGCTCCACGTGGTGCTGCCACTTTGATGTATCCCTTCCTCTTCTGAAAAAGGAAGCAAGGGGTGGAGGAAGTGACTATTGACTAATGTGTCGACTATCCAATAAGTATTTTCTTATTGGATAGTCGACTACTTGTTCACATCTCTAGAGCTAAGTGATAGACATTTTATTGCACTAACCATAACCCCACTCATAGACCAGGACCCCAGTGTGATAGGTACTTCACACACATGGAGACAATCCCCTCCCAAGGAACTAGTACTCCAAGTGGTAGTAACATTTCTTCTTGTTTGGCTTGGTTTGTTCTGACTGATTTTCCTGTTAGAAAGGGATGTCCTGTTGAAGCTAGATGGCTATGATGGCTGAGAAATAATTAAGTGGAGATAACCCAAAAGCCAACAGAATGAAAGCTGCAGCACCTGAGAAGGGAGGGGATTTTTAGTCACATGAATCTTTGGCAGAGAAGGGCAGGGGTGAGGGAGTGGGATGAGTGGCAACTTGAGTCATGGTGGTAACCATCCATCAAGTTATATTTTTGGAGAAATAAAGTGTTTGTTAAAGAGTCATTGCCTCTTGTATTAAAGTGTAGAGCTCAGAGGAAATATTTCTGGGACTTCCTAGTCATCCTCCAATACCATGAGACATTACACTCCTGATATTTCTAAAGGTAGCACACGAGCAATTAAAAACATATATATTTAACCCATATCCCCAGCTTTCTCTATTCATCATAAATGAGCAAGAAGCACAAGCCCAATTTTTTAAAAAAATCCTTCTCAGGGCACTTTTAAAGAGAGTATTGAATCTTCCTCCAGCACCCAGGGAGGAATGAATCACAAACATGTTTTTAAAAGAGAGTATTGAATCCTCCTCCAGCACCCAGGGAGGAATGAATCACAAACATGTTTTCAGACTCTGGTTGCCAGTTCTGACTAACTACCCCGCATGACAGCTTGGGGGTGGGGCTGAAAATTGTTTCCCGTGCTATGGAGCAGCCACGCTCCACTAGGGAGAAGCCAGTCAAAAAAGGACACAGAGAACCCGGGTTCATTTGTTCTACAGTTTTTACATCAAATATGTTCAATTTATCAGTTGGAAGGATTTTTTTAAATCTGCCAGAGTCATTAACCGACCCTGGAACCGTAAAACCAGCTGGATTTACAATGCCTAAACAGCAAAAATAGGCGGCATTGTAACGCAAAGCAGCTGGCATTTGGGTTAGGGCACAAGCCTCTGCTGGAGAAGCATATGCCCTACCAAGACAGACCCACTGGACTTCTGTAGGAGAAACACGTCAGGAAATGAGAGGGACCTTTTTTGGTATGAGCCTTTTCTAGAGCTCCTACACATTGAATCCATGTCAGTCACCAGGTCACAATAACCCCATATGCAGACATTTAGGCTACGTGTACACTGCAGGCTTCTTGTGCAAGAAGCCTTTTGTGCAAGAGTTTTTGCGCAAAAACTTCTTGCACAAGAACACATCCATACCTCAAAGCGCATCGTAAAAGCAATGTGCTTTTGTGCAAGAGAGCATCCACACCACATGGATGCTCTTGCACAAGAAAGCTCACAGAATGGTCGTCAGAGCACCTGTGCTTTTTCCCTTCCCTGCAGAATGTCCACACTTGCCTTTTTGCGCAATAGCTGTAGCGCAAAAAGGAGTTATGCCTCATAGAAGGAGGTTTACCTACAATAGAAAAAGTCCTCTGTTTACTGCCAATTTAGTTGCGTAAAAGTGCATTTGAGGTGTGGACGCTCTGCAGATTTTTGTGCAAAAACCTTGCAGTGTAGACGTAGCCTTAGAGAAAACACTTTATAATGAATACAAGCACTGAAAAAAGAGTAGCTACCACTGCCACCTTGAGCCCCAGGGTAACCAAAAGGTTTGCTCTCCAAGTTGCTTATTCCTACAGCATCATGTGTGCTGTCTGCTCTGGCCAACAGCCTGAAAGCAGGGTCCATCAGTAAAGTTTACTAGCAAATAAAAAAAAAATTCTCTGTAGATCTATGTACTACACTGCGAGGCTAGTAAGTTAGCAAAGCCAGCCCAAACTCCATGTAGAAGAATCTTTAGGGTGGCTTTGAGGAGTGGTGGGCAGGGATTTTATTTGTGGGGAAGGAAGGATACAAACTAGAAGCAGAAGGATAGTCTGTTAGATAGTTTAATACTATTGCCACTTGATTGTAAGTCTTAGAACAGCTGGCATTTTCTTAGAGTCCCAGGTGCTGGAGTAAGATTGTTACATGAGATTCACAGCTTTCATTTTGAAGGGGTCCTAGCCTCATGGTAGCTGAGATATAAAGCTTAAAAACCCTGGCCCAAGCACACAACAAAAAGAGTGACATTTTTAAAAAACATTTCAAAACCAAACTTATGATTTTAGAATGTCTGAGGCTGGCTATACTGTTATGGGTCATTTCACCAACAGAGACTCCAAGCCTGTCTTAAATACAAATTACATTAGTTTTGTGGTCCCAGCAGAGTTCCTTGTGGACATGGCAGAGGAGAGGCCACAATATCAGAACTGAAGGGGGTATGCAGATCAGAACCCAGGTTCCTTGGCAGAGGCAATAGCAGTACTGAAAGAGCAAAGGCTGTACAAGATCAGGATTGAGGAATGGGAGGTGGGGTCAAGAAAAGAAATGCATCTGTCTCTCTCTCCTCCCTTACACACCAGTACAGGTTGAACCTCTCCAGTCCAGCACCATCTGTGGTCTGGCATGATTTTATTTAGCTGGATGTCTGCTTATCATAGATGTGGCCAAGTTTCTTGTGATCCCATAAGTTTGTTTACAGCCACCAGTCCTGGCTCTCAGGGTTCTGTGCTGTTGGTTAGCTCATGGTTTGGCAAATTCTCTGGTTCATCATCCTGTAAGTTGTAATGCTGCTGCAGCTAGACAATATTGACCTCCCATGGTTTGGCAAATTCTCTGGTTCATCATTGGTCAGGTTCTGAGGGTGCCCGGTTAGATAGGTTCAACCTGTATTGGAAGAGAATTACATAATGCCTTGTTTGCTCCTGCAAGAGTACTAACCAGGACTGTCTCATTTGGCAGCAAGAAAGCTACATGCAGGGGGCATCAGAGATTTCCCGCGAGCAGCTGAGTAGGAGAGGAGAAAAATATGGAGATTTCTCCACCAGAGTTAGACCCCATAATCAAGAGGGATTTCAAAAACCTCTTCACAGCAAGGACGTGGCCTGAGTTATACAACCTCTTCTCACAATTAGCTACCCCAGCTAGCTAGATAAATGTGCCTGAAGAATCTCAGATATAAGAAGGTGCTAGAGGTGCTCAGGGTTTCTTCAGATAGAGGTTTCCTACCCAGCAGCATTATCTAAGCAGGTCTCAGCACCAGAGAGCACATTATGTCAGGGCTGTTCCTGCCTCCGGAGCAAAACTGAGTGGCAAATATCAGAATGTGAGGCCCAATGAGGAGAGTAAAAGGTTGTGGAGGAGCTGCTAGCTCACCTTCCATTTTCCCCAGAGAAGCAGAGGAAGTGATCCCCCAGAATGACAACCCTGTTTCAGTACAAGAGGATTGGCTTCTTTTCTGTGTTTGGTCATTTCCAGCCTCTAATTATCAGGTTACAAGCCAATTCCATCCTCTAAATCCAAGGGCTCCACAGGGTTTAAACCAAGACTGGCTGACCCTAGAAAGTTCATACAGCTTCCCAGAGATAAAGGCTAAAGCACTGTAGGCAAAGGAGACCAAGTGGAGGAATTTCCCCTTCCTCTCCCTTCCATGGAAGGAATAGCCAGACTCTAACAAGCATTACACATCAACACCCCAATAACCAAGTATGTCCATAGCCCCTTTACACTGCTCATACCCTTATCCACTACTTTTCCATATAATCTCCCACCCATCTTTATGCCTTTGTCCATGCAGCCCCAATGTATGAACTCTTTCTACGGCCTGTGATGCTAGATAACCATCTTCTAGGAAGAAACAAAAATCTTTAGTCACTGTGTTTACCCAAGGCAGGCAGAGAAAGCCTCCTCCCTGTGCACCTCTCTTTGATACTTCCACCCTCCTTAGTGCCCACTGCTGCATGCTTATGGGCAGGGCCTGGACTTCTCCATTTAGTAAAGCGAGGGACCTACTGAA